TGTAGATGTAAAATTTCAAGATATAGTGGCAGCAAGTATTGCTGCTAAAGCAATGACACACCCATGGAGGAATTTGAGGGAGAGGCAAAACAGACCACAATTGGTAATGTCCATTTTAATCTCATTTTTTCAGCAATTAACAGGGATCAATGTGGTCATGTTCTATGCTCCGGTGCTGTTTAAGACTATTGGTTTTGGAGACGATGCTTCTTCTTTCGTCCGTCATTACGAGTGGTATTAATGTTTTGACAACTTTTGTATCTATGTATGGTACTGATAAGTGGGGAAAGAGGATTCTTTTCTTGCTCGGTGGAACCATCATGTTCATTTTCCAGATGATTAAAATTTTACTATTTTAAATAAGTTTTGTTTTGTTTTGTTTTCTGGAACAAAGCTCAGCCAAAAATAAGATCGACAAATAATAGTTTTTCAAAAGATTTTTGTCTTTGTATCGATTTGATTCTAATAAAGATGTGACATCATTTGTTGGTTTTGGTGGCTGCGTTCATAGCTTGGAAATTTGGAGTTTCTAGTGAGGTTGCTTATATACCACTCGTGTTGTGGTGTTGTTCATAGCTTGGAATTCCTTCTATTTTCACTTTTTTTTAGTAGTTTCGTAGGGACTCTGTTTATCAACAGTAATGAAATAAAATTTATTTTCGTTTAATTTTGCATTTATGGTCTTTTTTTTTTCTTTTAATGTTTACTCCAATGTTTCGTTCTTAAAATGAGGAATGCCTTGGAACATCTTCTGTGGCTGCTTCAACAAATTAACTAAAATTAATTAAACTAAAAGCCATGGAAATGTTTTGTATCTTTAAAGTTACAAAAATTTATCTAATTAGTTAGGCTATGTTTGATAATCATGTTAGACTCGTTAAAGTCGGTTTCTAATTTTATTAAGAAATCTAAGTATTTTTCAGCTATTTATATTTTTTGTTTTTCAATTTTTAGAAACATTTTCTTAAATGGTATAGAAATTTTGAAAACCACGAAAACAAGTTTCTTCTCTAAAAATAAGGGTGAAACAATAAATTAGAACATTACCAAACAAACTCTTTAATAACAATTTCAACCTTTAGTTATTTGTTTTTCTACTTTTAGTTTTACATTTAAAAAAAAAACTACATAATAAAAACTACATATTTTTGGTAACTATGGTTTTGCAATAATGGCTAAATTGCCTTTTTTTTATACTGAAAAAATATTAAAGACAAATATAATACCCTTGTAACCAGGGTTTTTTTTTTAATATTATTGTCAATAAAACTTATTTTAAAAATATAAAAAATGTGGTAGGTTTTGAAACTTTTTTTAAAAATATTGTAGTTGAAAAAAATTGAAGGCGCCACGTCATTTTTTTTAAGAGACGACCACGTCTTTGATTTTTTTTATATTAACCATTAAAATTTTTCCTTTTTTATAATATTAGTTATATGTTTTTTTTATTTAAAGTTATATGTTTTTATAACATTATAATTTATTATAATTTTTATTTTTTATTAATTTATCAAAATTTATTAATTTCTTAAAAAAAATTTATAATATTATTAATTTAACAAAATTTATTAATTTATATTTTATTTTTTCTTATAGAATCATGAAGTTATCCACGGTAGTTCAAAATTGGAAATTAATATTATAAATTAGAGAACAATGTTTGAAGCTTGTCAATTTACAGTTTATCGATCTAATCCGTCCCACAACGGGGACGTCGCCGGTTACGATGTGGCTGACGACGAACTATTGGTGCCACTAGTGTCTCCTAACCCTCTGTAGGGTCTCGATCCTCTGTAGGGTTGAAGTATTATCTATGCTCTCCACGTCCACGCCCATGACCCACTCTAGATGGTGTGTGATACTGACTAGAACCAGGAGTCGGTATCATGACCATAGACGTGGACGAACCAGCATCGTCCTGTGTCTGTGTAAACGGTGGAATGTCCTCAACCCTATGATAGATAACTTCAGGTACGAGATCGTCAAGCCCTACTAGAGCATCTTTGTCTAATTGACGTCGTCCTCTACGTCTAGGGCCACGAGTAGGAGTAGGTACTTTGTACATTTGATGAAGGCTTTGAAGATGTCTCCCGCCAATGTTGCACAACGTATTAATTTCGTCTGATGACGAGAGAATACTAATTTGCTCGAAACATGCAGCCTACATGGAAAGAAATTAATAAATATGTATTTATTAATTTGAATAATTTTTATAACGAAATAAAATATTGTACTGTAGCACCAAATGCTGCTCCTTCTCGAGTTATATATCGTCTGGTGATTAACGTATATCAGCTCATGTATCCTGGATCGCAATCACCATCGTCGTCGATGGGAGGATTGATAACAATAAAATCTCTACGTATGTGGCACCTCGCCACAAAATGTGCAATCTGATCGTGCCAGGTGCTATCCCGAATTTCAATGTCATGTATCCTCTTATCCCAACATGGCACCTCTGGAATTGCTTGTTTCATACCAAATTGTCTGGTAACTCTATCAGGATGATACCACTCCACAATATGAAAGCATATGAGTGGACTCACAGTGCACCAGACGTTATGTCCATTGGCACAAAAGTCGGGTAGGTTGGCAAATTCCTTAATTATCATATGGCATCCAGATCATCTGAAATTGTAATAAAAAACATTGTAATTAATTATAAATCAATATATATTTTTATATTCTAACATTTAAAAACGTACCGAGCCTGGTGACAAGAGGTCCAGCATGTATCTATATTGGATCAAAACATGTGTAGACGCTTCTGTAACACAAAATTGATCTCTCCACCTACAATAATATTATAGGTTAGTACAACAATTGAATGAGTGAAAAAATTTTAAGAGGAAAATAAGACAATATTTTTATCGACGTACCGGGCAGCTAATGGTCGACCCACGAGCTCGTGATTTGAGATGTGACGATGTTGTGGAGCCATCGTGGGGAACCGATCCCAAGCCCATACTTGAAGAAGTATAATTGGACCGGCAATGTCACGTGAGTCAGAGCGACATGATTTGCACAGATTTCGATACAACCATGCCAAACATGCTCCACCCCAACTTAAACGTCCAGCTACATCGAAATCTGCTAACGGTGGCAGGAACATTAAATGCACCAAGTTGTTAGACTTATCGGCGAATAGACTACCACCGATAAGCTGCATAAAATAGGCACAAGCGTATCTGGCAATGGTTTCCTCATCAGCATCGTCGGCTAGATTACAAAATTGAGAAGCTAGCCAAGGTAGACTCAGCCTAGAGCCTCTGATGTGCGCAGCACCTGGAGTGACCCCAAGTAATGCTTGACAGATGCCTCTTCAATCATAATCAACACGACCAGTAATGGGCTCGCCATCTACCGTAACCCAAGTTGCACAGCTACATCTTGTAGAGTGATAGTATACTCTCCATCTGGCATGTGGAATGTATGAGTCAGTGGCCTCCACCATTCCACAAGCACAGTAATGAAATGCCAATCCAATTGGATGAATCACAATCTGGCGAATCCATAAAATCTAGAAGCGCGTAATGCAAGTTCAATCAAAGGATGCAATGGGATGATGCGATCCAATACTGCCTCTCTACGTCGGCAGTGCAACTCCTCGTTACACTGACCCTGCCAAACTAGCTCTGATCGGTGTCCAGCTTGATCATACAATACAGATCGATCGATAGGACCTGAGTTTAATTTCATAATCTAATACGATAGATAATCATTAATTGGAAACTTAAATTTAAATTTTAAAACAATAGTCACAACACAGAGTACCAATTAAACTAAAGGTACAATCACATAGAGTTTTTGTTAAAAAAATAAATTACATCGACAATTAAACTGACATAAATGATTTAGACTAAAGTCTTCAATTACATCAACATCTATGAAGGTGCTTCCCGTCGTCTTGAAGGACAGCTTCTTTGATTATGACCCAGTTGATTACAAAGCCTGCATCTTTGTTGAACACTTGGTTCTCTCGAATCCATCTCGTTATGAATCCGCGAGCTCCTTGGTCTTCCAGGCAATCTCAACAATGTTGGATCGGGGTGCAATATAGATAAGTTTGGGTGCGCGATCCAATAATCTTCATGTGGGATTGGCTGAAATTGAGGAGCGTACGACTCAGCATACCTGGAAAGCTTGTAAGGATCCTCAATGTAGTCCTCGTAGTTAAAGTTTAAGTGTGAACAAACTGCCATTAAATGAGAACATGGCATGTCATACGTTTGCCACTTGTTGCATGTACACAAACGTTCTTCGGCAATAATTCTCACTATTTGTGTGTTCCCTCCTTTCGAATTGTAATAATGAAGCCCTGTTTGCACATGAAACACACCAACGACTTGATCATAACTGACTACAGTGTGTTTGGTGGATCTCGCCACCCATCTAACAAGCTTATCATAAGCATACCTATTAAGCTTGATAATGTAAGTTAACAACATTGATATAATGAAGGACATTAAACAACCGATTAAAAAATACGTGGTGTATTTTTCGTTTCTACTTAAAGCATCTCTTGTCTCCTCCCTCAGCTTCTCGAAATATTTTATGCATCGGTAGAATGTAAGTTCTACCAACGCAGTGATGGGTAACATCCGAGCTCCTTTCAGTACCCCATTAATGCTTTCGGAAAGATTGGTTGTCGCGCACCCATATCTAAATCCACCATCATGTGATAGGGTCCACTTCTCAATTCCAATGTTGCGGAAGAAATTCATACAAGAGCTATTCAGTAATTTAATATTTTCCACCTCCTTGTTATACTTTCGAATCTGGAATTGAGCACCGACACGATGTACCAAATCTTTCAATTTCGTACACTTGTATTTATGGTTAAAGTTGCTAGAAACATGTCGTAGACAAAATTTGTGATGCGATTTAGGTCCGGTCCAACCATTATCTGGATTATTAACCGTAGAGATAATACTACCATGTCGATCTGAAATTAAACATATCTCTTCATGCGTAACAACTTTTCTTAGGTTTTTTAAAAATCATCCCCAGGTCTGACGACTTTCTTCGTCTACAATAGCAAAAGCAAGAGGTAACAAATGTCCATTTGAATCGACTGATGTTGCAATCAGTAGCTTACCCTTATACTTTCCGTAAAGGTGAGTGTCATCTATTTGAAGCACGGACCGAAACTTTTGAAAGACTGCAATGCAAGGATCGAATGACCAAAATACAGAATGAAGAATGTCATGACCCGGTTGTCCGTAGTTCTTAATTTTCCATTCAACAATTGTTCCTGGATTAATGTGTTTCAGCATGTACATCCACTTTGTCAAAAGTTTATATGACTCATCCCAGTCACCAAAAATACGAGCCAAAGCTTTTGTTTTTCCTTCCCAGACCTTCCAATAAGGAACATGATATCCAAATTTTTCCTTGATCAGATTTTGGAGTGTCGCAATACTTGTAGAAGGATTAGCTCTCACTGCATCACAAAATTCTCTACTTATCATATTTGAATCCAATTGACAATGACTTTGATTAAATTCTGAATATACACAAGAATGTTGGTCCACGTACTTTGTAATCTCCCATAGGTTAATATTTTTCTTAAGAATCACACGAAGTCGCCAGTTGCATCCATCTTGCCACTTCTTACATCTAACTGCCCATATAGATGGTGTCAACTCTACAACTTTGTAAGGGTGGTGACTCTTTACAGCAAAACGTTTGACGATATGTTGCATAGTTTTTTTATCATTACACATGAACCCCTTATACAACATATCATTTTCAACTGTCATTGGTCACAACATAGACTCGTGTTCTGCAATATTGTTAACACTGTCCATGTCATTAAATATTTGAAAAGGGATCTCATGTTCACTCTCAAGTTCCAATTCATCAAACTCATCATCTGTCGCTGTCCTGAGTTCTATAAACCTATTATCAGCAGTTAAGTCCATATCTTCGTCTAAATTAAAAGTTGGAGGTACAACTAACTCAGGTTCGGGATCAAGACATTGA